TAATTAGTTGAAAGCAAGGGAGCTCACATCGCAACTATTAATATATCCAACAAGTAGAGAAACGCTTCGTATGCCAATAAGTCCTACACTTACTTTAAAAATTCTATAAGTTTACGATTTATGAAAATTGTTAAGGGAAATATTAGTTGGAAATTAATTCCCCCTTTTTAGCGCATTTTATAATTTATGGAAAAAGGCGCTATTGTGCTCGCCATGTCCCTCCGACCGTCTGTCCGTCTGTCTGTCTGTCCGTCCGCGACTTCACGTTTTCGTCGACGAGAAAATGGGCTCTGTCTATTTTTAACAGACTACTGCCGTTGCAAGCCTATTCTGAAAATAAGTGTTCTGCGTGGTGAAAAAACGGCTAAGTGCCGGTTAATTCTACGTGTCTTGATGGTATTTGATGTAGCAGTATAATTCATTCCAATGCCATGACGCAGCGTGCTAAGGATTCATTCCAAGCGCAATTCTTGACAGACGAGCCTGTATTTTGTTCCGTTGCGATGCCGCATCATCTATTCATTGCAGAACGCAATTCTTGGCCAAGGCAACTGTATTCCGCACGTTCCATTGCAAATCCGCGACTTGGTGCAGATTTTCCCCTGCGCGTAACTCGCGCAAAAGGCAACATCCATTCGAGTTTTCAGCCACGGTTCGCCTTTAGGAATTAGCATGCATGCGACCACAGCCTATGGATCCACGCTGCCTCCTCACAGAGAATAATAATTACTTGCCACTTGGTCTAGTGTGCCTGTATTGCACAGAGAGATTTGTTTTGTCGCCTTTGAGATGAGTTTCTGCAACTTTCTGTGCTAGCGGAAACTAATTCATATTGTTAATTTAGACCGCACGCTCCCTTACATTTAAATATGATTCAATTTCTAAATTTATCTTGTTGAGCGTGTCCACTTTATATGGTGGTTCGTCGAAATACATACTTTGTCATAATTTTTGCGCTAAAAATTTGAATCTAGAAGTTGTTATTAGATGATCCCTTTTTTGCATTGTATGACCAACATGCCTATATTATATAATAGTTGTAAGATGCTCTATAATGCTATAAAGTATACGTGAAGCCGTAAGCGCATCAACAAATTATTATACAGGTTTTAAATAACCTGTGCCGGTAACGTCATTATAATACGTCATTAACTGCCTGAGCCGGTAACGTATTTTTCCTGTGCTGGTAACGTCATTCACAGACTTAAGAAGTTGTATCTCAATTTCCATAAAGAATGCATGCGCTGCACAATATCCCGAAGGAGGCCGCCAACTGAGGCCAGCAGCATTGATATGCAACACCGCTTGCATTCTTCCCACCTCCTTGAGGTGCTGATCCTGCATATTGAAAGCTGTTCGTTGCACGCACTCTGCCATTTATTTTGGTAACCGGATTGTGGGCCGCCACTCAGCCGCCAATTAACGGAAGCAAGTTCTGTAAAGATATTTTTCTGCGGCCACTTTGTGATTCAAATCACAGAGTTGAGATCTCTTGGGTCAAAAGGAGCCAGCACTGAGATGGGCTCCTATTATAGCAGTGAAAATACGGCGATGCAGCTGTACTTGGTCTCATGCTAATCTTTATTAGCTAGGGATTAAACTTTAATTAATAATTGACGTCTATAATGAATGATGAGTAAGAGAAGAGGAGGTATTTTAATTCATGCATCAATTATCTAGTGCCAGAAATACATTCCGGATACAATAAATATAAGTGTGGAAAAGAACGCATAATTTGCGAACACTATTTATTGCGCTTCGGTGCAGCGATCATTAAAGGTATCGTGCCCGATCACCGCCGGGCAACATACTAATTTCTAAATGTTGACTCTTTGTTAGACACAAAAATATATTTATTTTTATAAGTTATATCGAGGTGTATATCAGCGCCAGATTCTATACATAGGCTCACTGGCTCATATAACATATGCCGAGATTCGTTAACGTTTAATTGGCTATTGTGCATCGCTTTAAATGATAATGCGATCACTAAATTATCTTTCTTACACTGCAATTCATGACTAATGATCAATTTACAGTGATAAAGTTAAGCTTTTTATGAGACGGTATATGTACGCATCAATGGAACACTCATTTTACTCGTAATTAAGGCATCAATTTACTAACTGAAGAATATTCAATGGCGAAGGAACTTTTTCGCTTTGAACCACCTGCTAGTATCTCTTCAAAGGATTTCAGTTGATTTGAATTGTTACCGAGGAATGGACTGAATAGAGAGCGCTGGTAATCTATACAACGGGTAATAATTTTCTAGATTATTAAACCTGCCGTTATTTGATCGTACGGAAGCAAATAATGAGAAATGAGATGCATCACGGTGAAATAATTTTGTGTTCGTTTGTATACTTTAAATCAAGCCGGGTTGGACACGTGTTTCTACAATGAATATCAATTTAGTTCAAATTTCCACCCGCCGTGGTTGCGATGTTCGACAAAAAGGTACCTCTTGAAATCATGATTCGTCATAAACTGAGATAAATAAAATAATTTGCTGGAAGACTTTTTATATTTATTATGAAATATAAACAATATGATCTAATTTTTTTAACATACGTATGATTTGTTTAGAATTTTTGAAGAAAAAAGATCCTGCAGAGTATGCCTTTTCACAGAGTGTTCAGGTCACAGCCTACGCCGACCCCGCGCTCGATTCAAGCGATGAACTGATGCTGTCTCGAGAAGCTCATTAGGGATTACTTTGCTCCGCTTCCTTTCGCAGGAAATAAAAACAAATTTGTAGATCGCATATTTGCAGGCCTTCTCCGTCGGACGAAAGCAAGCGGAAGTTTCCAACTCACCGTTCGCGCAATTTCTTGAAATGCCATCGAAAGTCGGGCAATTTATGAGTTTTCTTATGGCCATGCAGCCATTTTCCTCATGACTCTCTTCAACTTTGAGCGTTTAGAATGATGCTTTCCGATGTTGTGAGGCGGGAAAATCATTATTTTGGTTCAATTTTGACTTCCATCGGAGCCCGATTAAAATTAATGACCTTGCAAAGCACGTAAGTTCTAATGCGTGTGTATAATGTACAGTATATTAAACGTTTGAATGCAACTTCGATACCATATACAGTCGATGCAATACCAACATTTGATGAGAAAATGAACCTTGTTATACCAATATGAGCCAATTATATATATAACGTTGAATCGTGTAGCTTTGACGTTTATACGTTTTTTTAATGCTAGTCAATGAAGCAGCTCTCTCCTGAATAAATGATTTTTATAGTTTGCGTGTTTACTTTATGGAATTTTAGCCAATTTGTAATTGGAGGGACAACGAGTGCATGTTCTCTAAATCAAGAACATTGCTTGGGACATTTCAGAGGTACATTTTATTTAGTAGCGTGCTGGTTCAGATTTTTAGTGAGCTTGGTTTTGCATCCAGAGTTTTATGGCTCCAACATCACGGCTTTAATTGACTCTTGAAGCATAGAGTGCCAGCGATGTAAGAGACAAAAAATAAACGCAGTCATTGCAATCCGTTTTAATATGACATGTCAATTGCTCCTCGGTTTATAACGAATAAAACAAAATTTTTCCTTGTAAAGGCAGAAAATTCACCCGCATAAATTCATTTCGATGCGCATTCTAGCTGGATGTTGCCCTAAAAAAATATAGCTCGGCACGTTTAATTTTGCGAAATTTTTCATGATCGGACCCTGCATGTTGGGAATTTTTATCATCATTTTGGATCTTTATTTGAATTTGCAGGTGTACCTACTGGTTCATTAAGATTAATATTCAATTGTTGTTTTTGTAACTTAGTAGCTTAATCATTTTAATTTTTAATATCCGAACGCAATAACTCTCCTCAAGTCATACCTGCTACGGTAAATTACGAAACGTGCATGGACTTTCCAGTCATCAATCTGGGCCTGAAATGAAAAACGCTCGGCGTCCGCTATATCGCCTGCAATTCCAATTTGAAGAAGCGGGTCTGCCTCTTGCGGTAGTAGAGGATGGACCTCAAATAAAGCTTTTCGATACAACTCAAAAGTCTGGTAAAGTCGAAAGTTTTGGCTGGCACCGCGAGTCGGACGCGAGAAAAGTGGAATTTGAAGTTTAAAGCACCTCCTCCTGAAGCCCGCATATAGAGGCAGCCCGCGAGATTGTTCAATTTGCATATCTCTTCAATAATCGCGAGAGTTCTTGACAGCAGTTGTCGAGACTTTAAATATAGAGTGATTTCGTGTTCAGGTGTATAAAACAGCCATTCTGCCATAAATGTAGACAAAAAAATCTACATTAATGTAGATTTTTCTTAAATTATCCCGGAAAAATATTCGTTATTTTGATCGCACAAGTTTACCTCTTATATAGTTCGACTCTTTCGAATCGTTGATGACAGTTTTGAAACAGTCCGTTATGGTTCGATAGCATAATTTGCTGAAACTGCTTCTTTGGTACTGTATGATGCATTCCAGCCAGACTCATCGTGTACACTTTAATAGAGTTTGCAGGCTGCATGAGTGTTCGGTCACATAATATAATAATTCTGCCTCAGTTTAGGCATTTATGAGGCGTTCCATTTTAGCATCCGGACACTAAAATTCCTACGACAAAGTTTTCACTTGCTCTTTGCTGACTAATGACATTAAATATTCTGTACCCACAGGCTACCGCCTCTGCAATATGAAACTGAACGAATCTAGGGGCTTGAATGCACGACCCTTACGAACGTAACTTATGCAAAGCAAACTAAATTGATTCTAACTTCTCTATGATGTAAATCTATAGCTGCTAAGCGCAACGGTTTAGAAAAATCTTATTATATTATAATTTCATCCAGAAACAGGAGGATTCTCAATAGAATTTGGATATCCTAGAAGGCACATGAATAATATACCAATAACAAAAAGAAACTGAAAGAAAAACTTTAAAAGACTAAAAATTACGATGGTCATATAAATAATGAACATTGTAATTTTTTCCTAACCCTGTCGTTATTATCTGTCGCATATTTGTCTCCTACAGAAGCAACATCTGCAGCGGAGCATCGCATGTCGCCCACAACGTCCTCGTCATCCCAGCTCCATGTCGCCGCCTCGCAAAGATCGTCCCTCGAGCCTCCCGCGCTTTATACATCAATGCCAAACTTTTCGCTTCAATCAAATGCAAGTGCAGCCCGCAGAGCCGGCACGTCTGGAAGGCCGTCCAGCTCTGGAATTTTACCCAGGCCCTCAGATGAGACCTCGGCTTCGGTCAATCTCTTGCCAAGTCGACCGTCGCAGGGAAGGCCTTGGGTGAGTGTCGTAGCTGAAGGGTGTGATAACACTGCACTCTGTCAACGGGTGCCGCTTGCCTTGTCATGGGCGTTTAGCCGCACAAGTTTGTTTACTGTCGCTGACAAGAGGTATTTGCCCAGGCGATTGCCTCACGGCAAGCCCAAAGTGAGTGAAATTATGGCAAGATGAGGCCTCGCTGCCTGACTGTAAAGTAGATACAGTTTTCCAGCCACAGTTGGCAAGTAATACATTCTTTACTGCAACCACAAAGAAGAATGTCTTAATCAACGATTAGGACATTCATTTGATAGGTTTTTGAATATTGTCTCGCTATTACTGTCTAAAAATAACAATCTTTACTGCAGGACAAGTTTATTTGAGAATATAACTATAACTTAATTAAGATGCACAAGTTTTTACTGAAATCAACAACAAACATGATAATCAAATTAAAGCTGAAATTATGCTTTGTTAACTGCAAAATTAAAGCATTTTTAGACGAAAGACAGGAACGACAGAAATTTACATTTCTGAACAAACAATCGTAACCGGAATTAGAGGAATCGATGTCGTTTCCAGTCAAAACTTGTGTTGATTGCTAAACATTTGGTTCATTGTCTTAAAAATGTTCTCAGGCATATCACCTTTCGATTGTAGCACATTGATGCAACTTTTGAAAATAATAACTTCTTTGCCATGTCTTAAGTATTTTTTCTAACGGAAATTTGGCGCTGGAGAGAAAACTAAAATTTCGTCCGGGTCTTAGATTAGTACTTGAAGTTAGCGTCTCGTGACAACAGTAGCAGTATTGTGTGCAGGTGTCGTGGCAGGACTCCCCTAACGTTGTGTGTGTGCAGGTGTCGTGGCAGGACTCCCCTAACGTAACGGTGCATCTGGGACAGGCCGCGGCGCTACGTTGTCGCCTCCACGACCGCGCCAACTACACCGTAACTTTTGCTTATTTAATCCTCGTGCATCCTTAGTGTGACATGAATTAAATTTTTGCACACATAATATTTTAAGAAAGTTCGACGAGCTTATGTAATCCTTATGCATCCTGAGAGTAAGATGTACAAAATATTTACTTGCATAAAATGTGTAGGTAAGTTGCAATTTTTATATTAATCGTTGAAGGTCGGCGATTGTTAATATCATGTTGTAGGTGTTAAATTGTTTAATTTAAAATTAGGTTGAATATTCTAACAATGATGTTAAAAGTAATGCATGAACTTACATTAATTAGTAGCTCAGGGAAAATTGGATGCGATGGTAAATTGAGACGGACTGGTCTTTATGAACTGAAGCGAAGCATAATTTTCCACATAAATTATATATGAAAAATATTTAGCGAAATGAATGAGTACAAATTAATATTTTATGCTATAATTAAAAATGTCTCACTCATTCTGGCGGCAAAATTCTAATGAGAGCTAGAATTTGTTTTTCGAACTTCAACAGTGACCGAATTTATCATTCGCGGGCTTCAAAAAAGATCGTGCATCATTTCTTAACTCGCCTCAATTATTTCCGACTGCAATACAATTGAACGAAACTTTTATCGATGTCATTGAGCGCAGTCCTGCGAAAATAACAGTGCCAGGCCACCAAAATATTTCGAGAGCTGACACCTTCTGTGAAGACGACCTCCTCGACGGCGCTGAAATTGTTGTCGAGTAATTCGGAGACTCGGCCCGGGGAGGCCTAAGCAGATTTGTGCGCAGTAATTGGCGTGGCAGGCTGGTGGGAATTTGTTGGTCATGGTTACCTCGGTCGGTTGTGACCACCATCATGGTCATCTGTGACCATCTTGGGCAATAGTGGTCTTAATGGGAGGATATGACGATTGTGGTTACCGGTGAATACCATTGTCTGATGAGATGATTGTGATCATCTGTGACCATAGTGGTCAAATGTGACCATATTGTCATCTGCAACGATCGTGATCATCTGTGACCATAGTGGTCAAATGTGACCAAATGGTCATCTATAACGACCGTGGTCAGACTCGAGTAAGAGATCGGTGCCAGTCGGCTTCTTTCTTTCTCAGTTCGTAAAAACAGCCAGAGAATCACAAGATATTTCTTCCAGTTTCTTTAAAACTTACAATGCAAAAGAACTAAGAAAACTAAAGTTCTCCAGGAATAATGCGTGCATGTGGAGGAGTTTTACTGAATCCTTTTGAAACACTGAGCTGACAGAAATCTCAGCCCTGCATCCGTAGATAAACGATGAAAGCTCGATAGAAAACAGTTGGCGGGAGTTTTAAATGTTGTTTCCGGAGCTCCAGGAAATTTCTAAATGTTTAAAAAGCCATGAAGTTTCCAGATGTCGAGACGTGTCAGATCGCAGGATGTTTTATTTTAGAGAAAAAATAATACATCATTGGGAGCAAAAAATTTCAGTCCAGAATGAAAGCGAGCATATTGATCTTGATAGAATTTCTAAGAAGACCAGATATAAGATCGAGAAAGGTTCTGCGAACCCTGCCTTAGCTTATATTCACGAAGCTATCACATTTTTAGTTAAAGAATGGCCGCAGCTGGAAGCCATGCCGCGGCTCCGAGCTTCGTCTTGCTATCGCACAAAAAGTCCCTCGGCCGTAGCCTAAAAGTCTTCGCGCGTTAAAATGAGCTTTGCTAGTAGGCCCAAAGACCCTGCCAAAAATATCCCGATAATTTTTGATAAAATTCTCAAATGTTGCATTTTGCGTCGCTCTGAATAAGCGCACCCTCAAATCTTTGATATTCCTTATTCTCAGGCGGGAATATTCAAAGAAACGAGAGTTTTTCGAGACCAATTTAGTTCGAGGCGCCTGGTTCCAAAAAAATGATTGAAAAATATTTCTCTTCTTCTGGAGGATTTCCAGTTCTATTTGGTCTTAAGAGCTGCGTGGCCGCGGAGTTTTGAACGCTTTAAGAGCTTCGAAATAAGAACTGATGTTGGAACAACGCGCGCACGCGCAGTATTGCTTGTAGAGCTGACACTAGTTGCCAAATCAAAAAAACGGACCGGGGCGCAAGCCCCCGTTTTTCCGCCATTTGCGTTTTGACTTTAGTACTTTGATTTTTATTGCCAAATCAAAAAAACGGACCGGGGCGCAAGCCCCCGTTTTTCCGCCATTTGCGTTTTGACTTTAGTACTTTGATTTTTATACTTACATTATCTCTCGGGGGTGCTACGAGGGTAAATGTTTTACATTTTTGCTTCTAACTCCAGGTCTCTAATTACTAGTTTTTATGATTGTATCTGAAATTGTTAGGCGAAAATAGCCGGCATGCCGAATTTCAGATCTCTAGAACAATCAGAAGTGGGCTAATTTTCGTTGTCAATGTTAACAACAAACAAACAAATAAACAAACAAACAAACAAACAAACGCGAAGCTAAGCTAAGAAAAACGTGTTAATTATTTCAAATGACAAGCAGTAATTCTAAAATAAAAAAACAGCATTGAAATCCGCTTATACAAGATTTATAAAACTGTTCTTAATTCTTCCTTTATTCGTCTGAGCAAGCGACTCACGTATAAGTTGTGCGGGAGTACAGCCTCATATGTTTCAATTTAACTCGCGGCGTCTTTTGAAATTATTTATGAGCTCGTTGTTGTGTCCAACCTCTGCCAGGCCTCGAGGCCACAGGTCTGTCTGCCTACCGAACAGCGCATGCATCGCAGAAAAATTATTCTTTATTTCAATCATAGAATATATATTAATTAAAACTTTAAAGTTTTTATACAATGTTAAATATAACAGTTTACAGGAACTGACGACAAAAATAAGATGGTAGTCATCCGGAGCAATTTAGTTCAGGATTTTGTATGCGAGTGACCTGCAAAAAGCCGGCTATACGACATTACAAATAAGGGTAGAAGTAACATATTACTGGCGGAGGGATGTTATTGCTAAATATTTCATCCTTAGCAGTAGCTTTTATTGTTCAGAAAGGAACGGGAAAAAAGTTGTAAGCAGTGCTAAGATAGTTGGCACGAGGCAAGGAAAGCTGCAGCTGCTTTAACTTCATTTCCTGGAGCGTCGAGTGAGTGAGGGGACAATTTTATTGCCCTTAAGATCAATTGCCCGCGAGGGCACAAGTGTTCTTTGCTGCAACCTTCCAAATGCATTTAATTTTAAGTGCATTTGGTTATAAATATCTCTCTAGAACTGTGTTCGGAATGTGAGTAGGGATAAAAGAAATGTGACGTGTATGAAGAGGTGAGAGACAACTGCAACAGTATATAAGAGCAAGCATTTATATACTTGTTTCCTCGGGACCTAGTACATCAAAATGGGATCCTCTTGTCATCAAATCACGCCTGGTATTCTGGTCTGCACACACGCTCAGGAAAATCCTCTCGATGCAATTTCCTCAGTTGTATAACCTTCAACGCAGCTCACAATAAAATGTGCGCCTGAACCTTAATAAAATGCTCGTAAAATTTCAGATACGCTAGCATTCCAGGTATTATTCCACTCTTACTTATCAACTGAGAATTGCCGTTAATGAAATTGAATTGGGTAAATGTTGAATAAAACTAGTGATACAACGTATCTCAATGTAAATCTTCCAATACCATTGCAGTGCGTTTATTGTTATTTTGATCTTTCCTAAATAAACTGAAATAAACTCGACGAAGCCATGTTTGGTCGGAAGCGATCATAAATAAAGTGCAAGTATGTGATACGACAATATCCAGCATATCCAGCTTCATTTAGGCTGAACAATAATGACTATATCTATATATGACGACAGGCATCTTCATAAGGCCGGAACAAAGTTATTTGGCACAAATGAGAGTGAGCAGTAATTCAGCCTGCCGTCTGCGATTCGTTGCTATATTGCTGCAAGCGTCGCGCGCAATCCTGTCCAGTGATCCGCACGGATGACTCGTAAAGTTGATATAGGAGACACACCAACCACGAGCCAGCAGTCGATGCTGTAGGGTGTTAACTTCTTGCAAATTATGTGATGTGCTGAGGGATATTTTCCTTAAGTTTTGGACATACGCGGCTCATATGCGGAATTGGTTAGCTGCCGTTCCGCCCAGTCCCAAGATTGATGGTCTAAAGTTGGGTCCTACCGAACTTTCGTGATGGATTGCAGAAGCAATCCTTAAATCAGGTTCTTTATAAACTAGAAGATTCGTTGCAAGATTGAGTAAAGTTGTAATAACAAATGAGTTTTGTGGTCCGAAGGTGGGCAAAGCTGCTCTGTTTAGCCTTAACTCGTCACGACTAAGCACCTCGGAAGTATAGTAACAAGTCAGTGTCATAGAGAAAAATCCAGATCGCTTGAAAACCAATCACTCTTCCGGAGAAATTACAACTCATTAACTTTCAGACAGGCTATTTAAACAAACTCCTGAGAGAAAACTTTTATAAGTTAAATTAGTTTGAACTTTCGTGATCGCAGGGTAACAAGACGATTCCCGTGAGAGTTCTGTGATCTTGTCAAATTTAAATACTACTTTTTCAATTTTATTCGTGCATTTAGGTGTCGTGGATCAGGCACAAGGACCTGCACCTTCTGACGGTCGACAGCTACACGTACACCAGCGACCAGCGCTTCAGCGTGAGTAACGTTCATGGGTCACCAGAGACATTGTCTACCAAGTTAAGATAAAATGGTTGTGAACGGCTTTGAATGTATCGTAAACACGCCAAAGTACTCTCGTTGTGGCTTAACAGCGAACTCGACACAAACTTCAGGTGATACGTGTCTCATTCGGCCGCAAAGTTCCGATTCCATCTCGAGCTACACGACGCGCAATCCCAGCAACTTTCTCTGTTGCTCGGTCAGTGGCTGTTTCTGCATCAGGGGAAGCTTTTGCTGCGTCTAGTTTGCATATCCAGGCTCTTTGACACAGCTCAGAAAATTTTTAATTCAAAACTTGGACGACTAAATTTTAATGCAAATTACTTCACGCTTCCAAAAACTTCTTTCATTGCACATAATTTTGCACTGTTTGGATTTGGTCGTACTTGCAGGGACTTGTACGAAGTTCATTTGTTGTAAAATGACATTCAACTGAAACTGCCTTGGAAGCAGAAGAGTTCCAAAGTTTGAACTGAGCACGTGATGCGCTTAGCAATCATTATCTGTCGTGGGTACACGCCTCTCTGATTTATTTTACTTATTTATTGAAATATCTTCTGTTTCTAAGCTAGAGCAATAATTTAGTAATTTTCTTGTGAGATGGCGAAACAATTCTCGGGATCTTGCAAAGCACGCAGGCTGCGCCGGATTCGCGGCGACGGCGACAAATGGACACCTGATGAAGGCCGTCCGAGCGCTCATCTCTCACGTCCACCGCATCCTGCAGCCTTCGAGTGCCTGCACGCAATGCCTTAGGATCTTCAGGCTGCATGGAGCAACCTCCCTTTAAGGGACAATTATACGCACAACATAAATTATGTATAAATAGTTTGACTATTTTTAAAATAAATGACGGAACTGGTCGCTCATTATTGTGTTGCTTCATTGTCTCTCACAGAGCATGTACGAGTCCAGCACGGGTGACTGGGTGCTCATACTTTATATTGCATCATTGTCTCTCACAGAGCACGTACGAGTCCAGCACGGGTGACTGGGTGCTCATACTTTATATTGCTTCATTGTCTCTCACAGAGCATGTACGAGTCCAGCACGGGTGACTGGGTGCTCATAATTTCCTCAGTGAAGAAGCAAGATGCCGGCAGGTACGAGTGTCAAGTGAGCTCTGCGCCTCCGATGGGTCACTTCGTCTACCTCAACTTCAAAGGTGAGCTGTCATAGCTGCTTAACTGATGTCTTATCAGCTTAAATGATGCCATTGCAGGTTTAATGATGTCATATAGTTGCTTAAATGATGCAAAGATGCTTAACTGATGCCATAGCTGCTCAACTGGGGTCATATCAGCTTAAACGATGCTATATAGCGTCTTAAATGAAGCCAAAGCTGCTTAACTGCTGCCATAGCAAGTTAAATGATGCTATATAGCTGCTTACATGATGCCAAAGATGCTTAACTGATGTCATAGTAGCATTACTGATGCCATAGCATCTTAAATGATGCCATAGCTGCTTAACTGATGCCATAGCTGCTTTAACTGATGCTATAGCAGCTTTAATGATGCAATAGTCGCTCAGCTGATGCCATAGTCAAGTTATCTGCAGAACATCAATCAGCTAGAGAATCAGTGTGGTGCGAACTTACTCTAAAAGGCAAAGATAGCCTCCTCACAGGCGTCGTGTATAGATCACCAAACAGTTCTTCTGATAACGATAAAGTACTAAACAGTCTTTTACCGAGCATGTCTTTCCGTAGGTCACACACGTTGATCGTTGGTGATTTTAATCATCCAGAGCTAGACTGGATAGATGGATCCTCTCCAAGGGAAGAGAATCATCCAGCATCCTTGTTCATGGAGTCAGTAAGAGACTCCTTCCTAGTCCAGCACGTTACCAAACCAACCCATTATAGAAGTAAACAGACTCCCAATATTCTAGACCTGGTGTTTACCAGTGATGAATCAATGTTGGATGAGCTTCG